GTGTGTGTGTGTGTGTGTGTGTGTGTGTGTGTGTGTGTGTGTGTGTACAGAAGCATTAATTGTACTGGAGGCTTTTTGTCTGTTAATTTGCATAATTTATATATTAATACTTCAATATTTAAATTGGAGAAATGTTTATACCCAGATTTATCTTTACTGAAATGTCCTCATTGGGATGTTTTAGTTTTTTTCCTTTTTCTGCCTCTTGAATACCATTTAAAAATGCTTACTGATCCTACTTTTACCATTTCTTCCTCTTTTTCTTTTCTGTCTACCTCTTTTTTATTTATTTATTTTTTTTACTAGATTCTGATTCATTGAGGGAAGCATTGTTTATTCTCATATACAGATGTTCTTTATTTTTAAATAAAAATAAATCTGGTCAATATTATCCAAATTAAATCAGTAGTATATAGTATATATGGTCTTGTTCAGAGAGACAGTATATTTCTATGAAAATTAAATAGAAAGCTAGTGTCTTTATTCTAAAAGAATTTAAATTCCATTTGAAATTTCTTTGATGTTGTCTCAGAAACCCCTAAACTCAAAAGTTATGCAAAACTCATTGTACTGGTTCTGAACATTTTTAAAGGTATTTAAAAGCACTTGGTTTTATAACCTGTGTATTTAATAGTGATTCTTTATATAACTAAATCTTGTAAAGGCCATCTGACTGAACACTTCCTGGACTTCAACATTTGGTACTTAGATTTGTGGAATAGGACATTCATGCTATAATGCTCTGTGCTAAATTAAAGAATAAGGCTATGAAGAAAAACAGAAAGTTGATATAAAATCTTTTATTTTTATGACTTTGAATAATTCATAGAATAGGTTTTAAGAAAAGTTTTTGACTTAATGTAAAATTTCTAAAAGAGGAATAAAAGAAGAAAACATCATGTTGATGTTAATATGTTTATGAAAAAATACTCCTGTTGATAAAAATTTTCTGCACTAAATTTTTACAAATGCACTTAAAACCTAGGAAGATATTGTTAAGTGTTGAATTTACAATAATGAGTTTAGTCGGGTAATAATATGTACCAAATTGGCCAGCTAACTTTTTTTACAAAGTTGTTTCTTGTATTACTATGGTTTTGATCTATTTGATTCACAGTGTATCATCATAACTAAAGTTTGCTGGAGGAAAAGTTCATGGAAGATGGCTCTGGAACCATAGGGGTTCAAGTAATGTCAACATAGAAGTTAAAAAAGAATGGCGAATCCCAGAACTATTATATTTGCATTTATATTTATTGGGTTGTCGGAAAAGTCATGACGTATTTTGTCTGTTTTTCAAAGGTCATTTATTTATATAAAGAACAAAGATCAATCAATGATATATTGCCCGTTTTGTTCGATAGCCTTTTGCCTTCTTTCAGTGAGCTTCATAATTCCTCATTCATAGAAGGACCTGTCTTTATGTGCGAAAAACTGAACAAGGTGCTGATTTACAGCCTCATCTGAATTGAACGTTGTACCACACAAGGAGTTTTGAAGAGAGCGAAACAAGTGGAAGTCTGACAGTGCCAGGTCAGGCAAGTATGGTGGGTGTGGCAACACATCCCATCCAAGCTCCAATAATTTTTGACGGGTGATCAAACTTGTGTGTGGTCTCGCATTGTCNTTTTTTTTTTTTTTTTTTAATAAAACCATCCTGGTTTACCAGCACTTCACTGATAGTGAGCCTCAGAGAAATCTACCCACTCTCCTCTCTCCTCCCCTTCCCTCTCTATCTGCCTGTCTCCCTCTTCTTACTCTTCCTTCATTCCTCTTAAATTTGTGCCGGATATTTATTGCTTTCATGGAGCTTACAATATCTGTTACAGGGTAACAGATATTAAGAAACAATTATATAGATAATGATTTAGATATTGTTATGATCAATGCTAAAAAGGGAGAGAGATAAGAGAATGACATGAGAGTTTATTAAAGGAAGACCTCTTGTCTGAGATAGTCAGGGAAGAATTATGGGTATGGTTGCTTGTTTTAATTAAATTGGAATGCTCAGTCCTTTCTTTTTTTTTTTTAATGAATCTATTACATTTGATATTTTACTCACTAACCAGAATATAATAGAGATGAATGTTCTTTATTATTTCTCCTTATGAGCATTACAACTAATTAAATCATATATTTATGTCCTCCTTACTGACAGTATAGGTGTCTTGTTTCTAAAAACGTGGATGCTGATACTTAAATGTAATAGTCTCAACCTTGCACATTATCTGTTCTCAACAGTTATTATTGTCTATAAGTCACTGTGCATATTCTGTGTTTCCATTTTCAAGTTACTTGACATGGATGGTAATATATTCATTGGCATTTTAAAAGCACACAGGACATAAAAGTGGATTTAGTGGTTTGTTTTTTAACTTATTTGACAAACTTTAGTGCTTTCTCATGTTACAGGAATTTCTACAAAAATAGTTTCCTCAGTTTGATCTAAGAGTAGAAACCCCAGGCTTGTAAATTTTCAGATGCATTTAGTTTTCTAACTTATTTTGCCTTCTTTCTCCTTGGCTCTAGAAGTTTCCTTATAACCCTTTCTTTCCTCTGCTATCAGGCTCAGTCTCAGGGAGCAATTACCTTTAAGATCATACCCAGCATCAAAGAGGAGACACCATCTAAAGAAGGCAAGGTAATCATTACTTAAGAATATTTTTTGTGGGGGGACCAGTGTTTTCCCATCTAGGGCACGTCTTCTTTGTCATAACAAATCTATTTTAATATTCTATTTTAAAAAAATTATTCTGAAACCAAAGTGTGAAGAATGTGGGCCATTTCACATTTTTTTAAAAACATTTATTCCTTTTAAATGAAACTTTCTTCCAGATATTTATCAAAGCCCTCTTTGACTATGACCCTAATGAGGATAAAGCAATTCCATGTAGAGAAGCTGGGCTTTCTTTCCAAAAGGGAGATATTCTTCAGATTATGAGCCAAGATGATGCAACATGGTGGCAAGCGAAGCATGAAGGTGATTCCAATCCCAGAGCGGGCTTGATTCCTTCAAAACACTTCCAGGAAAGGTGAGCTACTGGCAAGTCATGATGGCCTTTCTTCAAGTGACCTTTTGTTCTCTGCAGACTATCACGCCAGCATAGCTGTGATAAAATAAGCACTGAAACCTCGCCTTAGAACCCTTTAGCCCTCAGGTTTGGATTTCTGTTTTGTCTAAGTAAGTATGAATAATGACCAAAAATAATATGACAGTACCAGGTCATAGTCGGTTTTTTGTTTCGAAGCAAATGGAAAATAGCACATAATATCTGAAACTGTACTGATGTGAAAGAACGGAAAAGAAGAGTGATTTTGGAGTGGGGATAATTTATAAAAATTTGAAAGTAGAGGATTTATTTCTTAATTTGAATAGATTGCATCGTGTTCATTTCCCCCCTCACTTTCCTTTTTTTTTTTTTTTTTCCTTAAGACTTTTCATATTTTGGTGTTATATCAACCTTGGATCTGTCCTGAAAATTGATAGGCATATTGACCTTCTTTTCCCCCAGGAGATTGGCTCTGAGACGACCAGAAATAATAGTTCAGCCCCTGAAAGTTTCCAACAGGAAATCATGTAAGTTTGTTAATAAGAATTCAGAATAACCAAATCTTGCTGTTTATTTTTGACTATTTAAAGCAGGTGACTGTGGCAGAACGAGAGGTTGTATTGCCTTGTGATAGCTTTTGGACCATCATTTCACAGAAACCAAACAAATAAGAAATTCGTAGTAGGAATAGAAAAGGGAATCTTTTGAAGAAAGGTGTGTTTGGAGTTATTTATAATAAACCTATGACTCACTCTTTAAAAAAAGAACTAATAACCACTACTCACTTTGATTTATGAATTTAGGTATTTTACAAATGTAACTGCAAATTTAGCCCCTTTATTTCTCCAAAGCCAGGAGGTTTGGGTAAGATATTTCTTGGTGAAGATTATGGGGGAAAATCCACCACATTCTTGGGCACAAAAGCAGCTGTGCCTGAGAACAATTAATTGTTCTTCCTCTTAGTTTCTTGTTTATCTAGAAATCATAGTAACTCTAACCTCTGTTTGGAGTTATTACCAGACTAGATTAAAAGAAAGTAAGAGTAAGAAAAAGGATAATGTAGGATTACTGAAAAAGATAGTGTAGATTTATTTGGGTACATTTTTTTTCTTTTTTTCAACCTACCCTTGTCTCAGCTTCTCTTCTGTTCCACTTTTCTCAAGTCCCCATCCGATAAATTTCCTCCTTCATCTCTTCTAAATGTTTCATGGTTCTAGGTATTTTAAGAGTTAAAAAAAAAAAAGCCCTTTGTTTTCAGTATGGAAATTGTACATTAAAAGGCAAAAATGAGCAAATAAATGGTCCTGGAATTTTACACCAACATCTGTTTTTAGTATTGTTGCATTTTTCACATCTCCTGTTATTTCTGTCAGTTTGTAGAAGCTTATAGCCCAGGAATGACATTATAAGAGAGCCAAACTACAGTCGGTATAAATCTCCCAAACAAGCAAATACTTCAAGTGCTGCACTGATTCAAAGCCTGCTTGTTCTTGCTCTGCTGTCTAGGCAGAAGGAAAAAACACTTCTCATAGAATGCCACATGCATCGTGACATCAGACAGCTTAAAGTGTAACCAGAACGTTGCATTATTTTAAAGTGTGATGAATGTTCACAGGCAGCTCACCTAGTTGAAAGGATCCCTGACTTGCTCTTTGAGGGGTTTTTAACTGTGGGGCTGGTACATTTCTAATAAATATATTTGCTGTACGTGGGATAGAATATATGTAGCTTCAAAATGAAATAAATGTGATTCTACCTGAGTTTGAATCCATCCTCAAATTTGAGTGTTAGGAAACTTCAAAATATACAATTTGATATAATTCTGAATTTTCATTTATTTTAAAATTATGATAAGTATATGTTTCTTTAAAGAAATATACATTGTGAATACATTGTCTTTTTAATGCCTTTCCCCAAACTGGTTTTAGTATAAATGTGTGTGAATGTGAGAGGTGTGTGTGTGTGTGTGTGTGTGTGTGTGTGTGTGTGTGTGTGTGTNATGTGCATTTCTAGGCACAGAGCATGATGCTCCTGTCATTTCTTTGCCACCATTATTGTGTTGTTGTCTTGGAGTCATTGTTGTAGAGAGGTGCAGAATCTGAAAGCTGAGAAGCGTGAATGCCTCCTTTCCAATTCTCAAATGTATTAAGGGAACAAACAATGCTTTAAGTATGAACACAATTGTAAATTAGTTACTTTGGTAGGGAACACTGCTAATGCACCAAATTTGCTATTTCTCAGGTCTTATTCATGTTGGTGATGAACTTCGAGAAGTGAATGGGATACCAGTTGAGGATAAAAGGCCTGAGGAAATTATTCAGATTTTGGTAAGCTGAAATTGTATTTAAAAATTGCAATTAAAATGAAATTGAATCACTGTATTTCAGACATGGTTGTGAATACAGGATTTGGATTTAGAGGTCTAGAGTTTGAATTCCAGCTCTGTCACTTACTCGCCGTGTGTCTTTGGAAAATACCTTAACCTTTTTTTATTGTTCGTTGTTTTCATTTACAAAATGAGAATAAGAAGAGGTAAATATCTCACTGGAGTGTTTTGAGACTTAAATGAGCTAATGTATGTAAAGCGTTTATTACAGGGCCTGCCCCTAATTAGGTACTTAATAGAAGCCATCTACTCTGTTGTTGGTGATCCATTTATCTCTCTCTTTCCCATTGACATCACCAGACTATGTGTTATGCTTTCTAGGTATATAAAATAGTAAAACAAATCTCGATGTTTTATGAAATGTAGAACGGAATGAAATTATGTTAGTTCTTGACAATATTAATTCTCAAGTTCATTTGTAAGGATAAAATGAAGGGAGACGGTCCCTATTATGTATGACAACATACTATAAACCTACAGAAATATAAAGAAAGTTTGGCATCTCAAAATAGACCTCAGTATATATGAAAAATTAGTATATGAATTATGATGGCATTTTATATCAGTGGGAAAACAATGAAATCATTTCATAAATGGCGTTGGATTTATGATGATTCAGCTAGAAGAAATAAAGCCAGTCCCAATTTTATAGCACACGCAAAAATAAATTCCAACCAATTAAATACTTAAGTTGTTAAAAAAATCACAAAAAGTTGAGAAAGACTTTGATGATGGGAGATTCAAATAGAAAACAACTGATGTGACTATAGAATTGATAAGTTTCTATATAAAAAATGATGTCATACATAAAACTTAAGAGATAAATGAGATTGCAGGGAAAAAATTTCAATATGTATGGTAGAAGGCTAATATTTTAACATATGAAGAGTTCATAAAAATTAATTTTTAAAAATTTACAGGAAATTTGGCCAAGTATATGCACAGAATTTACAAAAGAAAATGTGATGTCTGAAATATATTGGATTGGGGGGCATTTAAAAGCTTGATAATGCCTAAAGTCAGCCTGATTATAGGGGAATAGATGTGTTTATATGTTTTGAGTAGTAGGATAAATTAATAGAACCTTCAGGCTATTCAAAAGTATCAAAACTTTAAATTTGCATATCCCTTTATCAAGAAATTCAATTGTCAGATGGAAATTAAACCTGAGAAACTTATTTGGAATATGTGTGTAAATAAGATATTTTAAAAAAAGATTTAGATACTA